GTTCGTGTAGAACAGGGATGCTCTTCCTGAATTCCTGATTAAGTTGTTGTCGTCGTTGGTGGGTGCTGTAAACTTTATGCGTTATTTTATCGACTGTGTAGGTATCTACGTATAATTTAGTGCAATTTTCTTGTAGGTACCAGGAATGCCACTGTACAATGTAACATCCACTTTTCACTATTTATGTTATGAGTCCCATGTAATAGGGTGAGCCTATTGCCATATATCGACACAATTCCAGAATCTGTGCTACTGAGATTTTTTTTAAAAACCCAGTAATACGAATTCATTCATACCCAGTAATGCCCGACCCGGGAATCGAACTCGACACCCCTTACCCGTCAGTCGCACTTGCGACCACTCGGCCAACGACGCAGAACGTATTTTTTAATAATTGTAGTAATCGAAGTTAACACCAGTGCAATCAATGCATTTTTGTCAACGCAGTAGCAGTTTATTGATTGATGATTGATTCTTTAATAACTACAAAAAATGGTACCTATGGACTTATTAGAACTTAGAAATCTAGCTAGGTCCTAGGCATTAACAAAAACCTATCTGTAGAAAATCCCAGAAGCAAGCAAAAAACAGCTCTTTCATCGCAACCCTTACCAAAATCTCTCTTGAAAACTCGAAAAAGTGATTAATTTCCCTGACATTATCAGTGGCAAATGTACCTATACTTGTAAAATATAAGGTCGGATATTCTAAATGTCTTTGTGTAAATTGAGTCAAAACAAAGGCAAAAACTTGGTACAGTTGAATGTCGAGGAAGTATGAACAAAAGGAGGATCTCGCCTTGATGTACGCAAGGACAATCGTAATGAGATTTTGGCGAGCTATAGCGAAATAAAACCGAGATGTAAGTATTTAGATGATGTAGCTTCTGTTTTCACTCGATTAGAGCCGTGAAATCTGAAAGCAAGAGGCACTTAAGCGTGTCTATTCTAGATATCCGACATAATATAGTAACAGGAGAGAACTCATTAAAATATTCAAATATTAAAATCCAAAATATCTCGAAAACTGAGGCCCTAGGCCTAAAAACAATCAAATTTTCGATCTGCCCTACATGCACTGATAGATTTCACGATTGATGGACAAGGTGAGAGAGACTTTCGGTGAAGTGGACACATTTATAAAACTTCCAAACATCAAACTATTGAGTTAAATGTTAGAATACTTATGGCAAATCCTCTGCTAATGATACACGTCAGCGGTGCATTTGACAAAATCTAATTTGCTCTACTTTCAGGTCTTCAACCGTTACTCCAACGAAGTAAGTAGCTTTGAAACTACGTAAATCTTTGAAAAAAACAAATTACCATCGTCTCACTAGGATATATTATAACAAATTGCGCACTTACATTACGGCAGATTCGGTTACGAGCGTACGAGCCCTAATGTGTCCTTTCTTTGCGAATAAAAGGATCATACGACAATGGCCGGATAGGGAGGTATCAGATCCTACAGCTCTGACGTCATTAATCACAAAAACTGCGCTTTAATGGATGACGAGCGAGTAAATGCGATCTGGCAGAGACGCGACGAGCTCCAACTAAATTGAATGCTCCCTCCAATATGGCTGAGTCGCCTCGTTTACGTGTCGTATGTGGGAGATTGAATTAATGTGAGATTCTCGGTTAAACGTTATAATACATATTATGATAGGTTCCAGGTTTCTTATAGATGGAAATGTTTTTAAAATTCTCAGAAACATTACTTAGTTTGGAATTGCAGAGAGGCTGATGGAGGTAGTAGACCTAGATGAGATTGGGAAGGTCTTGCTCCTATATGCAAATGTTATCATCACCATTATAAACAAGAAGACGTCAATTACTGAACAAAGGCATTCCCCTTGTATCTAACTATTGCTCGAATACTGAAAGGCTACTCAAATTTAAGATGTACTTAAATATCGTGCCATCTCTGTCATTTTACAAAGAATTTGTAGAGACAGAATTATATACGTTGGCCGAGTGGTCGCAAGTGCGACTGCCGGGCAAGGGGTCTCGGGTACGATTCCCGGGTCGGGCAAACTATTACTGGGGTTTTAAAAATTTCTCAGTAGTAGCACGGAGTCTAGAATTGTGCCCGGTATATGGCAATAGGTTCACCCCGTATTACATGGGACTCATAACATAAATAGTGAAAAGTGGGTGTTACATTGTACAGTGGTATAATGTGCACCTCTGCCTACCCCTTCGGGAATAAAAGGCGTGATGTTATGTTATGTGGAATTATACAAGCGCGACTTAACATTGAGTGACGTTTGAGTATTTCAGCGTAAGTGTGCAACTAACTAATTGTGTAAGATGCACTGTAGGAATATTAGCACAACTTTCAAAGAACAAAATCTCCTTATAATAGATCTAATGCTGGAGCTTCAAAGGTCTTTCTAATTTATAGGTACCTACACCTACTTACCTACCTACTGGCAGATAGCTGATACTTATCAAAAACGAAAGACCTACATCATTATCGTAACACACCATCAAGAGTATAACCTGGGTGTCTTCAAGGCCCGAGTGAATAGGTTGCTTATGGGACGACGTGCTCCATCGTCGACCGCATCATCGCCTACCACCAGGCGAGATAATGGTAAAACGTGGGCCCATCAAATATAAAAAAAAACAAACAATAAAAAAAATTACCCTTATTAGAGAAATAAATGATATCCACAGCTGTGTTTTTATAATACATATCGTGAGACATACTAAATTAACTAAAATCTAGGGTTAATCACGTGAATATACTACGAAAAGCTCTACTAGTTTCGAACCACAGAGGGATTCTTCCTCATGAGCAGCGTGCGCGGTCGCGGCGATCACGCACGAAATTAGTTAATCTGATATCTACAGCTTCTACCCAGAAGAGAAAAATAAAATTAATGCTAAGTATACGTAATATTTCATTACAGTAAGTAACTGCTAATTACGTAAAATCCTCTTATGTCCCATCTCAATACAAAAACGAGACAAATTACATACTTAGTTACATTCCGATTAGGAACGTCGTTCATAACTCAAGCAGTGACAAGACGTTTTAGGAATTATTGTTGCTACCAGGGACGGACTTAGAGTAAGTATATACACGACAAGACCATGATTAAAGAGCTTTAGTACCTATCTTTATTTAGAACTTTAGAAGACCCAATTAAAATTGACAAATAAAGTAGTTTTTTTTTAAGGGGGAAAATCATCGAATGACTGCTCCCGCCAGGGTGAGGGGGGGGAGTGTCAGACTCTTACTGACTAAAAACCACCCCGTTCCTTCTTCTGCATGTCGAGTCGAAGCCCCGGTAACCCGTTAGGTTCTCCGCGAAAATAGTCGGTTAGGGCCGCTTTTCAATCATCAGTTAATTCTTAACTGTAGCATAAAATTGAAATTTAACAGTTTTCAGTATGGAAGAATCGTCAAATATTTAGTTATTCCCCAGGTAAGAACTGATGATTGAAAAATCGGTCCTTAAACTCAATTTTCTCATAATTTGAAGGATCGTAAGTGAAACCGCTGAGCAAGGGTTTGGTTCCCTTTCCGGCAATAGCATGGAGTATGGAATTGTGTCTCATCACAGACATCGACAGCCTACAAGTGGCTACTGCTGACCGAAGGCCTCTTCTCACACGGAGAACGTTTGAGCGTTAATCACCACGTTTTCTCAATGCCTTTTGGAATTGTGTCTGGTGCATGGCAATAAGGTGCTTACCGTCAAGCCTGCTCAATTACCATAACAAACTGGATAAGTTCGGGCCTGTGTAACGCTAATTTTTACGTTCAGTGAAAGATAGGAGACTTTAACGATGTGTTGCAAACTTTTTAACTTCTCAATCCCCGATTATGAAAAATCCACAACAATTGTTCATACAAAGATAGTCTTTAAACATCGGAAATAAGGTGTCTATTGGAGAAAGTGGAGAGCGGTCACCGGTGACCGCTTAAGTACTGGGTAAAGGTTTATACCTACCTTTTATTACTATTACTATACTTTTATTACTCTATAGTAATATTCATACTTACTAGATATTGCTATTACCTGGTTGGTCGAGTAGCCTCAAGTGCGACTTATCAATAGGTTTTGGTTTCGGGTCTTTTTGATTCCGACAAAATATTATTGGAATTTTCTCAGTTTGTAGAACATTCTTAGCAATCGTATCTACAGAGTCCAGAATTATGACCGGTGTATGGAATCGCCTACTAAATGGGACTATGGGATACCTATACAGAGATTTTATAAACAAAACTGTTAATTTTTATTTGCCGCCAAATAGAATTTCAAATCATTTCAAACCAATGATTTGAATTTTCCGAACTATTATCATAGACAAAGTGCTTCAGAGTTTTAAATGGCCAGTAAATTATAACGGACCTCATTTTAAAGCTCTTGTTGTCTATGCTTACTAAAAGGGCTAAAACCCACTAGAAACACATCAGTAACAAAGTTGTGTAGGTACTGGGTACACCCAAAAGTTTTAAAACAGTTTAACAAATTGACTTTGGTTTTAACATTGAAGTGGGGAGAGAACAAAACATGTCTGCATTTAAAATTAATGCGTTTTGGGTTGAGAATTTTTTTAAAATTTCTTTTTGAATGTAGACATTTTACGATAGTGATGAGGATTTTTTTTGTTTGTTTTGATGCCTTAAGACTATGGTAACATTTTTTTTCAAGGTTTTAGGTTCTTAGTTATTTGTATTTTAAATTGTATATATTTATTCATAATTAAGTTATTAAGGTTTATTAATTTTGAAGTAAATAATTAAACATGTAGACATTAAGGACCTATATCTGTATGCGCCTATGTTAACAAATAAAAGTGATTTGATTTGATTTGATTAGATATGTATTGTAGGTAGATACGAATACGATACATTTTGAAAAATACAGGCACTAAATTAGCTGCAGTATAGCAAATTCAAATTAAATAATTATACACATTAAATAAAAAAAACGAATATTTTATTGAATTATTTATTTCATTTTTCGTTTATTGATTAAAAATAACCAATGTCTTATTTTAATCATAAATGATATACCTATAAGAACATACAAATCATTGTTATATTAAATTAAATTATTATAACATTAAAAACGTTACAAATCCAACACATTCTTACTAAGGAACTTTTATAAAACATAATTATGTAATAGGCACATAATGAAATATTGTCCTAAGACCATATGAATTTTACAAAGTTATCACAAAGCAGGGAAAATAGACATTACTTATTGTTAATTCTGACAATTTCTGTACAACTGAAACATATTAATGAATGACATTCTCTTGATATTACAAACTGTTTATGCTAAATTTTTACTGTAAAAAATTAACTCGAATTCGACTTGAAACCAATGGTAACATGTTCGTAGGTGAGGTCAATGGCGCGAAAGGAAGTCGACCGGTGAATCGATTTGTTCTGTATTTTGATAATCCTACTGAGGGCAATTCGTTTTGTCGTGGGAAAATGGTTAGGTATATGAAATTCACACTGTAAATTATTTACAGACACTAACACATCAAGCTATCCTTATTAGTCAAATTTATTTAATAGATTTTGTACTTTATTACAAAACAATAAATTTGAAAATTTTATGAAGATATTCGGGGTTTCTTGATGTAATAGTTTGTGAATACGTAGAATAGAAAATTGAATAATTCCCTAAAGGTCGTCAAAAACAGTCAGACAACTAGAAAAGATAATTATACGACCGAAGGGCTCGTCTTTCAAAGAAACAAAGTCTTCCTAAGAACAGTTAATTTGTTAGGACTATAATTACTTAAGCACATTTAAAATCTTTCCCAAAGACTTCGTCAGAGGTAGTCTAGAAAACTTTCATTAACTTAATTAGATTAATTAATCTTTTTGTTCTCAATTTCAAATCTGTCTTAATCAGGACACGGCTAGGTTGGAAAACGGGTACCTACGCGTATTGAACCAAAATGATTGATTGGATGCCAAAATTGGCAGCGTCACTTTTGCTAGAAAACGGGGCTTTATGAAACTGGCTTCAAAGGGTTTATTCGAGTTAATTAGCTAACGCATTGTCTTCTGAAATTTTATTATCGTTGTTTGGAAGATAAAGATTGCAGATTTTGATTGTTCTATAAATACACGTGCACGTCATTGGTGAAAAGAGTGCGGGGTAAGTCGCAACAGTATCCCGAGCGCCTTTGCTGAACATTTTGACTGTCAGTACATAAAACCACTGTTGTATGGTTCATGTACTGGCTAATGTGAAATTAATGTTTTGAATTGGGATCGGGGTTATTTTAATGTTGTTAGTCTTTTATATTGTTTTATGGTTTGTTATGTGTGTGTAAATTATGTATGATCTAAGTAATCGGTTGAAATAAATGGTTAATGAATAAAATTAATAATAATAAAGTTGTACATACATACGTCATTTAGGAGGATACATGTCAAAAATCAGTTAAGTATGGAATTTACGTTACTTATAACAGTTTTACGTATTACAATGAATGTAATATGCGTCAATAAAAATCAATAACAGTAATTTTTATTACATCCAGCTAAAATTTCTAGCCTATAACAAAACAACAGTCCACAGTCCATCACTAACATACATTCTCACTAAAAAGTGATGAATCTAGTCTAAAACTTAAACCTATATCACAATGAATATTCAAGCAGCATTCTGTAGAACGAAATAATAAGGCGGATGCATTCTGTTGACTCCTACGGTGGCCATACTCGGGGCAGGTCCGTGCCATTCTAGCCTGTATTTGTCCAACACTCTAGTTGTTAGTGACGATAGCATTTTTCCAACTGCGCCGGTACCTGGACAGGCTTCTCCGAAGGGCATGGAGGCTAGTGGATGGGCTCTGGAAGCTTTTAAAGGCTCCCAACCTTCACTGCACCACCTCTCTGGAACGAAGGCCTTTGCCCTTCCCCATTGCTTCTCAGATTTGCTTGTTACGCCGTGAGCGAGGACTATGTCCACCTGTTGAAGGGAAGGTGTTGTTGTAGTACATTATTTACAAGTTTAATTAATAATAGATTGAAGAATACGATTCAAATATTAAGCGCAATTGGTTTTGATGCTTAGCTGGTATTTTTAGAACAAACTAGTATTTTCGTTTATGCTTAATAGGGTAGTAGACAGTGTTTGAAAATTTAAAATGTAATTATAGTCAGAATTTTATTTATTTTTTTTTTTTTTTTCTTCTATGGCAATTGAGTCTCCACTATTTAGTAGTTGACTATTCTGCCAGCGTCATGTGTTTACTATAGTCAGAATTTTAATTAGATTCCAGATTTGACAATAGCTACTGTCATTTTGTGAAATAATGATACCACATATAATAGTGTAGTGATGAACACAAAAATCGATAAACAATCAGTGTGTGTGTTTTATAATAAATGTTACAGAAAGTGACAGGATAGCGATAGCGATGACGGCGACAATTTATAAAATAACTTATTACCATAATACATCTATCTGTTTTATTTGTCATGTTCCTTCATGATTTCATTTTTTTATTTATTTCACACATTATATCACATATCACACACATTATAAAAGAAAAGTCTCAGATCGTTAATTAATCGTCAAAACTAAATTATCGGTTCAGAAATATTTAATTTCCTGATATACTTAGTTTACGAGAGTAAAATTATAAACGAGAAGAATCGATCCAGAAATATTGCATTTCCATATCGAATAATTTCGCAACGTCACCATTTAATACTTGTCATAACGTTGCAACACTGAAATTGTCAAATCTGGAATCGAATTAAAATTCCGAGTATAGTTCGTCAGTTAGACGATGAAAAAATATTAGACACATATTTTTTTTTTATTTTGTCGTATAAGAAAATAATACTTAGATAAAACGGAGTTAAGTTTAGTAGTTGGACGTCGTCACGTCTCGCTACCCTATAAAATGTAGTAAATCGTGACGTCACACGATATTTCAAATCAATATATCGTCGAAAGTATTTAATTTTGTAAGAGAAAAGAAATACGTGTCTAATGTTTTAAAATAATCTACCAGACGGACATTAAAACATCGTAATATTTATTAATACATCAAAGAGACATCTTTATTAGACCAACAGCGTTACTTTACTAGCGCTCTTGAAGCAGATAATTGAAACTAAATGACAGAGAGCAGAGTAGAATAAAATATAACCTCTTTCTAAAGATAAAACAACACAAGATCCGTAGAAACTTGTTTTCCCAGAGAATGCAATGAAAGCAATGAACATTGCATGAATTACTGTCGTTCAGCACTCAGTACGATATGCAGATGAACATTTAGTTGAAGTAGGGGAGCTTGCAAAATTAATTTTATTTTTAAGTATGAGATGAATGGGTCCTGAACATAATGTTTCTTTAAAAGGTTTTATAAATGCAGTGGTGCTACTTTATTATTGTTTGATATTGGTGACTAAAAATAATACTATGTTATAGTATGGTACCTTTACAAATTGAGTTTTATTCATGACTGGATTTTTAGTTAGCCTATAGCTGAATAGAGGGCTTTGTAATTGTTTGTTACGTATAAAGTAATCGAGCCGAGACCGCGTTCGGCACTGTGATTGGTTGCTTTATTGCAGCCGGCCAATTAGAGCGCCGTACGCGGTCTAGTTTCGATTACTTTAAACGTAAATGAAACTTGTACTAAGGCACCATATCGGAATAAAGTTTAACACAGGGGTAAACTGGAGCCTTTTAGACCGGTACAAACCCCCATAGATAACTTCCACCCTTAAAACATAAACAATCCATGGCCGAGCCTATAAAGGAATGAACTTTCACTTAAATAAAAAAGTAACTTGGCAGTAAACTAAAAAAAAAATCTTACCCCAGCAGGAATTTCATAGCCTCCAACAATGATAGGTTCCTTATTCCTCCTCACTACTCCTCCAGTGGCTGGGTGGAGTCTCATAGCTTCTCTGGCGCAGGCAGCCACGTAGGGCAGTTCGGGTGTGTCACACCCAGCCTCCCTTGATGCTATGGACCAGTGCACCTCGTCATGTGCCCTTTGCTGACGAGCCGCGTGAAGAGATAGTTGGTAAAACATGTTCAGAGCTGTTTGGGCGAGCTGGAAAAGAGTTTAAGGTTAATATCGTGTTTCAGATTATTGTTCACATATTTACAGTTAAGGCTTCCAATCCCTCGGAATTCAATCCCGGTATTTGCGGGACCATGACTTTACAATTCTGTGGGAACTCGGTATTTGCGGGACACGCATAGGTATTAAAAATATTCATATTCACATCTTTGAGTACCGTCATTATAGTCACAATTAAAGAACAATAGGTTGCGGTCACCGGTGACCGCGCTGTGTTTGACAGTTTAATATATGGCAAATAAAATAATGAATTAACCAATTAGCTCCACATTTATTAATGTAGTCTTCTTACTGAGCGGTGGTACCCAATTTCTAAACTTTAATTCATTTTACCTAAGTATTACATTCTTACACTACAAAATAAAAAAAGGTGTCAAATAAATTTCATTATCTACCTGACGAACTAAATTGATTTTTATTTTCATAGGCTGTCATCATTCGTATTGAACATTATTATAAGTATATTTTGACACTAACTACTGCCGCGCGGTTCCACTCGGTGTTCAGCGCCGTGATGTGAGCCTTCCTCGATAAATGGGCTATCCAATACAAAAATATTTTTTCAATCGGCTCAGTAGTTCCTTCGATTAGCGCGTTTAAACAAACAAACAACTTCTTCACCTACATATAAGATTATATAATAGTACATAAGATTACGAAAAAATTTCACAATACCCACGATATTACCTTTTATGATTACATTTATATTTATTTTTATTATACACAAATAAAATCGAAGAACAAATAAAAACTTTCGACTGCAACAGACGTTTTTGGTGAACATGTGTTTTATTATTGTGTGTCTATTTGTTACAACATTTGTTCTGCACGTCAGTTGCCGCAACCATGCATTAAGAATTATAGGCGGAAGCGATGTCGCTGAAGACGAGCTACCATACGTTGCAAGGATACGACTAAATCTTTTTGTTAAGTCACAAGGAATTACCATGTATGAAGAAGAAAACCATGTCTGTACTTGCGCCATATTCACACCGATCTGGACGTTGACAGCCGCTCATTGTATACTAGCTGTAGAAGCATCACGTTCTATTGAACAAGACGGAATTCACGTCAAATACGAATTTATACTTGGTCACGGTCCATTGGAGAAAAAATATACGAGCAAAATTGTACAATGGATGAGACATCCTGCGTTTAAGTATTCAGCCTTGCCATTTCGTGGGTTAAATGATATAGGTTTGGTAAAAACTGAAGAGATTGTTCTGACAAAATATGGCCATATTAGTGCTATGGATTACACTAGCTTGCTTGGATTGGAGGCGACTGCGACTGGATACGGGTTGATGAACGTATCAGGAGAGATCAACGACGCGAGTGTTTTAGGAAAACCTTTGCAGAAGCTAGATGTCGTTGTGACTAAATGTGGTCCAATTTTTGAGACGTTACGTCCAAGAATGTGTATAGCGCGGCGTTGTGGCAAAGTGTCAACTATTTGTCCAGGAGACTCAGGTGGACCACTCTTGCATTCATCGGGCATCATTGCTGTTAATAGCGCTGGAATAGCCATAGCATGTAATCCTGCAACTGACGCTCGGTTTTTAGATATCGGCGCCCTAACACCTACCAGCCCTTATATTGATTGGATAAGTGATGTAATAAATAAAGACACAACAAATGAATAATATAGATAAATGAATAATAATTTAAGTGAACTTATAAGAATATTTTTCAATAAACTGCGTTTGAAAAAGCGATTTCAATCTCCTTTTTAGTCAGTTCAAAATGCCAAAGCAACTTGTTATGAATAGGGAAACAACGTATATTACGAGTGGGAAATAAAAAGTAACGAACAAAGATTCTTTACGCTTTTTCCAGTTCCGCAAATCCTAAATCCCAAAAATCCGATAGCACATTAGTAACGCTTCTGGTGTCCCGGGTGTCCATGAGCGAAGCCGATTGCTTACCATCAGTTGATCCGCTAGCTCGTATACTGGGTTATCCCATAAAAAAATCCTGCAATCGTAATCTCGCATCATCCCGAATATCGGTAGGTATTCCGGGATTGAAGCCCTACATCCAGCTAAACTATGGACTATGGGTTTCCTCTACATAAGAAAGGTTTGCTATGGATCTGTTACTATATTATTATTAATTAATTCTTTCGATTCCCGGGTCGGACAAAGTATTACTAGGTTTTAAACAAAATCTCAGTAGTAGCACGAAGTCTGGAAATATGCCCGGTATATGGCAATAGGCTCACCCCCTATTACATGGGACTCATAACATAAATAGTGAAAAGTGAGTGTTACATTGCACAGTGGCATTAAGTGCCATAATGTGCACCTCTGCCTAGCCCTTCGGGGATAAAAGGCGTGATATTATGTTATCTTAATTCTATAGTCTACCATCTACTAAACGAACTGTTCCAAATTAGATTTGCACCTAAATAATATTATTCAAATGTAATGATATTATAGTTGTTTATTTAACTCCTCCAGTTAGCAATGTAGAAGGTAATTATTCTAACAAAATATACTGTAATAGGTACCACGTTTAGTTTACCTAGATCCCCGAGCTATGACCTAAGTAAACAGAGACCTATATTTGAGCACTATCATCCCTTTTCTGTTTGTAGTCAAAACAATAATGTTCTGATAGGACAAGGTTTTAGATTAATATAGGTTAACTCTAGTTTATGCTTTGTTTAGGTATAAATGTTCTATAAGCAATTTTACTATCTGCAAAGTATTCTTTTTTTTAAAGGGGGAATATCATCCAATCATTGTTCCCGTCCGGGTGAGGCGAGAGGGAGTGTCAGACTCTTACTGACTAAAAGCCACCTCGTTCCTACTCCTGCATTTCGAACCGAAACGCCCTCTGTGGTTCCGTATCTGCATAAGTATAGGGTATATTTTTTACGCCTTAGGGCGGTAGACGAATGGTAAGCAGTTGACGGATGTCCAATTCTATGATATGCCTCCTATGTTCAAATTCCGAAATTCTCAAAAATTTGTTCTTTCGGTGACGAACTTGATACGTCAGGGTGCGGAAGTATCTACATGGACGGAGCCGATTGCTTACCATCAGGTGACCGATTTGTTTGTTCGCCGCCCTATTCTTAAGAAAAGTACAATGCCCACTTACAGGGTGAACGCCGGCGAGTAATATATCAGCAGCTAGAGGCAGGATTCGCCTCTGCAATGGTCGCAACTTGTCGAGTAAAACCTGTTCAGGCCTCAACTCTTCGGAGTTGAGGGAGTTTAGTGCTTTCGTCAGGAAATGTTCTGTGAGCCTGTAACAATAGGGTTTTATTAATGTTGGAGCACGTACTATTATTATGTTCTATTATTAAGGAGTACTAGGGAGTAACATAGGCTACTGTTATTTTTTAAAAGACGCAGAGTAAGTTATAAAATTCCTGACTTTCGACCTTTGTTCATACCCAAAACACAGGGAAAATTGTAAACATGCACATTAATGTCATTACGAAACACTATCTTATCTCCGCAGATAAATATCCTTGGCATTATGTCGTACCTACATTGGTCACAGGATTATGAGTTTTATAGTCCAACTTATCAACATTTTGTAAGTAAACAATATTGACAATTCGCTAAAACCGGTTTGTGCCGGTTGGATATCTTGATGCATAAAATCGTATGTTGTATCATATAGGAAAATTATTGTTTCCAGAAATGATATGGGGATTTAACTTGATATGCATATAAAGTACTAGCTGTGACCCGCGACTTCGTCCGCGTATAATATGAGTTTTAGAATGTACATAACATACATAACATCACGCCTTTTATCCCCGAAGGGGTAAGCAGAGGTGTACATTATGCCACTGTACAATGTAACACCCACTTTTCACTATTTATGTTATGAGTCCCATGTAATAGGGGGTGAGCCTATTGCCATATACCGGGCACAATTCCAGACTCCGTGCTACTACTGGGATTTTTTTGAAAAACCCAGTAATACTTTGCCCGACCCGGGAATCGAACCCGAGACCCCTTGCCCGGCAGGCGCACTTGCGACCACTCGGCCAATGAGGCAGTCTTAGAATGTAACATTTTTTTGTTTCAATTTTCTAAAATAAAAAAGAGTAGCCCTTGTTACTCCTTAGTACATCAGCTACCTGCCAATAAAAGTCATGCAAAATCGATCCAGACATTCCAGAGATTCGCCAGTACAAACAACGCAGTGTTTGTGTGTACAAACAGACATAATTGTAAAATAATATGTTATATTGGTATGTGTATCGTTTGTATATTCATATGCATGTAGTAATAACCGGTTATTTTAATATGACAAACAGTCACTCCAATTTTATTTATCTGTATATATTGTTGTTTCCAGAAAAGATATGGGGACGTCAGTAGATGCATATAGAGTATTATATTATTATCATATCAGAACAAAATTGCATGGCATGGTAGATAAGAGGTTTCAAAATTGCTACTACATAAGAATAATTATTATTTTGTACTCATACTGATAAGTAATATCATGTTAGGTTATTAGAAACTAGGTACTTCCGCGCGGTTTCACACGCTTTGCTCAGCTTCTATTGGTCGTAGCGTGATGTTTTATAGCCTATAGCCATCCTCGATAAATGTGCTATCCAACACAAAAAGAATTATTCAAATCAGACTTGTAGTTACGGAGATTAGCGCGTTGAAACAAACAAACAACAAAAACAAACTCTTCCGCTTTATATAATAGTATAAGATAGGCAGATGTTCACTTTTTGGTCTGTTCAGTTGTTTTGCTACTGATTGCACAGCTATTTATTATAGTCTAGTCAAAAATCTTGTAGGTTCATATGTATTCATTCATATGTATATAACTAATGATTTTAGGACGGTTATTAGATCGCATTCGCCAACATTCGGTAAGATATGTCTTTCCCAAGATCGTAAAGCGCAAATAATTCTTTTATTTCAACTACGTTTAAAAAAACCGACTTTAACCCCTCTTTATTTTGAAGTCGATTAATTAATATAGGTAGGTACTAAACCCTTCTCCTAAGTGTAACAAACACTTTTCTGAAAACCGCATCAAAATTGGCTCAGCCAATCATGAGGTAATACACGAACATACGTACCTACATACGAGGTCAAATGAGAACCTCTTCATTTTTTTTCAAGTCGATTAATAAAGAAGAACGACTTTACAAATGTATATAAATAAAAATGTTTAGGGAACAGAGGGTATAGTTCCCTAAGATCGGAAAAGGAGGATCCTCCGACCAGGCGAGGTGATCGTGCCTAGCGGGCTTTCTGCCCAACAGTCGTTCGTTGGGATTTTCTATCCGTGTTAATTCGCGTGTAAACTTCGCATTTGCGATGTAGGATTCTTGTGACGTCATCCGTTGATTTGTGACATGGTGTCGCCAAAAATGAATTTCTGTTCGTTAGTCTCGCTAAAACTCGAGAATGGCTGAACTGATTTGGCTAAATTGTGGTCTTGAAATGTTCGTGGAAGTCCAGGGAAGGTTTGACAGCCTTTGACTGCCGACAGAAAACTGCTGAAGGCAAGTCCTTCGCTAACGTAGGTCACTGGTGACCTACGCGGCGGTTGACGTGTTAAAAGGTGAGATACTTTTTAGTACGTAGTTTGCTAGGTCAGCTAGTTAATAATAAGTCTTTATTAGGTACGATGAAAGTCTATTAATAAGTCCAATGTATAATTTATTTTCTTTGGCTTAACGATAAATAAGTTAGTATTATTACTGAGCTAAAAGACAATTGGAAGAACCTGAGATCATGAAGAAACATTCGGTATCCTTAATTAGGAAGATCGTAAAAAATTATGGCTTTAAATGGACCATTATTATCTTAACATTAACCAGAACGGTTAAATCGGTTATTAAATAAAGTTAAGGATTATATAGGTACTCAGGGCCGTCTTAGACGACGCCGGGGCCCTGTGGCATACAAAAATTCAGGGCCCTTGTGGAATGTCACTTTTTTAACGTTGCACTAAGATTTTCTCCTGTATTGTGGGTACATTTACAAACACAAGTTCATATACACATGACACCCAGACACGAAATAAAAATTTGTGGACCACACAAAGATACCTACTCCGTGCGGAAATCCTGGTGCACGTTGCCGGTTGCTCAGCATTCGTACTAACCGTGCAGTCGAGCAGAATTATTTACTAATCTATGTAGTTTTGAGTTTGTTTTGAGTTCCGAATTTGGTTCGTTGTTATAAATAGATATGTTTTCAGTTGCTTTAGTTCATATGTTTGTGAGTAAAGATCTCTATAAGTAATAGAAATGGGTACTTCACAAAAATAAATTATTTCGACCGTTTAACACAATAAAACAAAAAAAAATATAACACTTTCATTAATTTATTTTATGACAAAATTAATTTTAACTAAAATCGCGGGTTACTCGCGTGAATATACTGAGAAAAGTTCTACTAGTTTCGAACCACAGAGGGGTTCTTCCTCATTTCCCCAGCGTGCGCGGTCGCGGCGACGTCGCGCAGCTCACGAGTGAGTTGTGATGTAGTATACCTCCCGATAGTTATTATAAAAATTTAATTTTAGTATTTTTTCAGCAAATTTCTAAGAAATAGGTATGCTGTTTGACGCTAAAAAAATGTGACGTTACAATACACAATCTCGTACAAAATTCATAGAAATGTACTGAGAAATAAATGACATTCATTCATTCTTAGAAAACTGTCGTTTTTATAGTTCGAAAAAAGTGTTGAATCTGACTAATAAGTAAGTAGCCAATTTCTTTTATTTTACCTTTTTCCTCGTAAAATTGCATATAACCAGTTATGGTGATAATTCCTAATATTATCAGACTAATGACTTTATTGAAGAGTCAAAGGATTAACGATTAACTTAAACATACTTTCACCAACGTCACTGCACTTCAAGGTGCAAAATCCTTTAACAGTGTCGAAACAAAAATGTCTACCAACATTCGACATTTTGTGCACATGTGCCATGCAAATGTATCACGTGTATGCTAATCTCGACCACACAATGATCACGATCCTGTCCGATGATATCCACAAAATTAATGCATGTTGATAGCGAAGTCCTCCTTGATGTAGGATTTAATGTTAAATGTATTTAGAGACTTATTATTGTTAGATAGAGTTTATTGTACTGAAAAAAGCAATGATAAAAAGTCATTGTTATCAACATTACTGTAAACAAGCGTTTATTTATAACACCTATCGTGAGACATACTAAATTAACTAAAAATCGTGGGTTACTCTATAGGGGGTGAGCCTACTGCCATATACCGGGCACAATTCCAAGCTCCGTGCTAATACTGACATTTAAAAAAAAATCCTGTAATGTTCGACCCAGGACCCGAGACCCCTTGCCCGGCAGTCGCCGGTCTATCAGCCACTTACGCTTCATCTACATTCATCAATCTCTTCATGCATGCTCGATAATTGAGGGGACTATTAAGTAAAAAAGTTTAAATACTTACGTAAAATGTCTGTCAAAGGCCTTTAGAGCACTGTTGAAGGTGGGATTCTCAGGGTTCAGGGTCCCTTCACTCCTGACAAGGAAGCTGCCATCAGCTATGTCTCGGCTGCATCGTACCAGCCGTTCTGCAGGGGTCAGTTCTTCTAGGGAACGCTTCGCCAAGGAACAGAGGTCGTGGATCTCGTCATCCATTGAGGTTTTTTCTGGTTTCCTGTGTGAAGATACAGGTCATTACCGGCTTAGGTGGCGGTGTGGTTGAGTGAAATGTTTTAGGGTAATATTAAAGTACTGTTTTTTCTCAATAAGCAGTGACCAAAAGCTAGAATGATTTAAGAATTTACAAAACAATTTACATTGTCTATAATAAATACATATATGATTTTGCGTGGTAATCCAATTTGATAGGAATTGGGATGATGACGGAGTACGAAAATTAAAAATCTTGGAAAATTAAAAAAATATTAGACACGTATTTTTTATTTTGTTGTATACTAAAATATTACCTAGATAAAACGAATCAAAGTTTAGGTGTGGGGGCTAAAACGTCATTTCTACGTATAAAATGTACATAGAAGTGACGTAACGCGACATTTCAAATCAATATATCGTCGAAACTATTCGTTTCTAAAAGAAAATAAAAAATATTTGTCTAGTGTTTTAAAGATATCTAGCTACCAGACGGACATTAAAATAAAAATTAGGCATCTACGTTATTCAAAAGGTCTAGTTTCGTCACACTGGAAATGTTTTGGAGTATAAAACCTAATCCACATCCATCCATCCAGTCAATCAGCTTTATAACTATGACATGACCAAGGTACTTACTGGTTATCAGCAGTAGGTATATGCACAGCACCGTCAAGGCATCCCAGTCGAATGCCGAAGATCATCATACCGATAGTCTCGATGGCCCACCGGTAGATTTCAGTCTCCAATTCTTCGTTCAAAGCATTTTCTGCATGACGCAAGTCTCCCAGTCTAGGATGAAATAAGAAAATTGGTTTGTTATTGATTGATGAAGTTTAATTGTGATTATTTCGAGTGCACGGTAAGCACGGTGGCTGGGCAACTGGCGATTCCCGCACGGAACAACTCTTCATGTGATCCACAGATTATTATTTAGGATCTGGGTGTGATTACGTATGTTTGTAAACGCACCCTGTATCGTACAGGAGAAAATCCTAGTGTGGGGCAAAGATTTTTTTTTAAATAAGATGTGATGATTGTATGGTCGTAGTTAAAATGGATTGAAGATTTGGAATGGATCAAATCAGATCAAACAGTATTGTATTAGTAAGTTATTTTTTTCATAGCTTATAGCTTACAGGTTACAGAACGTCTCATGGTAAGCGGTTACCGTAACCGTACAAATGCAATCTAGAAATCCTTATGAGCAATGGATTCATTTCTATAGCTGTATCGTAGTGGCAGGCTTGAATAAAGGCAGGACTAATTGACTATAATAATATTTTCAGCAAAATTAATTGAGCAAATATGTTACGTCAATTCACAGGAAACGCAAAAGAATGAGTCTTCTAGACGTAAAAATATTTACTTAATAATTTTATTGTGGTAATGTGCGATTATGATGGATAAGTAGGTACTCGGCACGAATTCAAATCTCCTGATGTTAACACAATGTCCTAATGTTTGTTGTTACAATAAGCAAGATTGTTGTGATATTATAAACTGTTCACGACTCAAAAAAATAAGTTTTAATATAGTTTGTCTATTCCTTCTCGTTATTTCGGTGATAATATTGCAATAAAGTTTTTTAGTCCTTTCCATCAGATGTGTATCTTCAGAAGAGGGTGATATAATTATGACTTAACTCGCTTCTGATAACGGCTTCACCCTCGTCCAAGTGGAATAAAAAGTATACTAGTTACATATTATTACATATCATAATCGATACCTGTTCCAAACAAACATACAAATTTCCCATTTATAATATAGGATTAACATTTGTATTATAATTTTCTAGAGACATACAAATCAATTATTATATTTTCGGGTTTACTCACGTGACTGTTGAGAGGAACGCGACTAGTTCCAAGCCACGCCAGGGGCTTATATTCATGACACACGTAACTAGTCGAGTGTGAATCGAGCTCCTCGTACAACATTTACGTGAGTAAGCCAGAATACAATAATTTATTAATATTTTGCTCTTTTTCTGTTCTAAAAGGATAGGTACCTATATCTAAAATACATACAACAAAACATCACGCCTTTTATCCTCGAAGGGGTAGGCAGAGGTGCACATTATGCCATTGTACAATGTAACACCCACTTTTCACTATTTTTGTTATGAGTCCCATACATTAGCCTATTACTACCATATACCGGGCACAGTTCCAGACTCCGTGCTACTACTGAGAATTTTTAAAAAAACCAGTAATAGTTTACTCGACCTAGAAATCGAACCCGAGACCCCTTGCCTGGCAGTCGCACTTGTGACCACTTGGCCAACGAGGCAGTCTATATCTAAATCTAACTACATTGTGGAACTATATCTAAAATAGTACCAATAAATAATATAATACTGTAACATATACATACAAATTAAATTGTTTATAACCTTAAATGCCTCATTTCTCTAGGTCATGCATTCATTTGTACAGTTCATTGATACTGAAGAGAACATAATATGAATAAAACGACTTATATCACATAACATATTGTTATGCAAATAGCGACTTTATAATATATACCTAAGGTTAGTTCTTGCAAATCAAGGTTTTATTTTATGTCACATGATTGATCGTAGTAAATTCGACCTAAGTGTGACTTAGGAATTTAGTGTTTAATTTTAGTTAGTAGGTATTTGTTCGGTTGTCTTTTGTTTTTATGCTCTCATGATGGATGCTGAAGGTTTTAAGGACATAATTGCAAAAACGAATAACTACATCATGCCACGATTTTCTTAAATTAAAGCTTATTTGTCAAGGGAATCCGTGTCTACTGCCTCTGGGGTCATATTTAGGTTATTTTGCCGAGTCGGTTAAATTGGATTGGAATATTAGATTTAGACAATTGATATGCTTCATACATCTTTAAATAGAACCACTCACGTAGACTACTAACTTTACCATTAACGAAATAGAAACGAGACCGCGTTCGACGCTCTGATTGGGAGGCTCGAAAGAACGAACCAATCAGGGGCTTAGTACGTGTTTCTTTTACGTTTAAACTTTAAAGTAACCGAAACGAGACCGCGTCCGGTGCTGATTGGTTGGCTCCAATAAACCAACCAATCAGAGCGCCGAACGCGGTCTCGTTCCGATCTCGTAAAACGGAAAAAAGTCGTACTAAGCCCGCTGTTTAATAAAATGCTTGATCCATATTCTTGGGACTCGGTAACTATAACTTTCACCCCTATTGATACCTATAACTTGAATGTTAATTAGAAAATTAAATTCATAGTTAAGATAATGTGGCCGAGTGGTCGCCAGTGCGACTGCCGCGGCAAGGGAGTTCGGGTTCGGGCAAAGTATTACTAGGTTTTTAAAAGAAAAATCAGTAGTAGCACGGAGCCTGCAATTGTACCCGGTACATGGCAATAGTCTCACCCCCTATTACATTGGACTCATAACATAAATAGTTAAAAGTGGGTGTTACGTTGTACAGTGGCATTTAGTGTCATAATGTGCACCTCTGCCTACCCTTTCAAGGAGCGTGAGGCGTGATGTTATGTTATAATGTGGCTATGTAACTTACCTCCTCGTGATATCAGCAGCAATACCATCGAAGGCTTGGTCGTAGCACTTCAGTAGGCTGCCATCTTGTAACAGCGCGCGAATCGCCGCCCAAATAGCTTTGTTCTCATCTCTGTGAACAATGTAAAATGTATATTTTTTTATTTCATGGGCCGACATTTTACCACTATCTCGTCTCTCGTTGGTAAGCGATGATGCGGCCTACGATGGAGCACGTCGTCCTATAAGCTACCTATTCACTCGGTTCTTGAAGATACTCTTCAGGAAACATAGATTCTGGCAAAGAATTCCACTCCTTAGCAGTACGCACAAGGAACCTTGATGCGAAGCGCTTCGTGCGTGTGGGTGGGACATCTACTATGAATCGGCTACGCTTCGCCGATTGTCTTGAGGTACGATGATGGAAAGGACTAGGGGGAATGAATTGAAGACAATTAATTATATTATGGACAAAATAATTTGTGTTGTACAAAAATATAATCATTATAAATTTTGGGGAGTCTCCTATTGAATTATGGGTCGTCTCCACAGTACATGGGTTTACCGTAATCTCCATGCTTGGAGAGGTTCGAGGTTTGCACTTACATATTAGGTTAAACATGTAACGTTACTGCCCGATCTCAGTTAAATATGTGGTCCGTTAGTCATCTCTTATGGTACCCACGGGAAGCGCAGAGGGTTGTGACACGGCTCAATAAATAATCACATTCGTAAAACATGGTAAAAACATTCGTAAAACATGGAGATACAGTTTTTTATCATGTTATTTTAAGCAAGATTATAATATTATATCCAGTGATAAAGGTAGGATATCCTCTACCCACATAGTCTATCTACTCCATCGATACAAATTCGGTAGTGTAATGCACCTCTAATCTGTCGATAAGTAAATGGGTACTTCGCACAATGATCCTATAGTGATGTGGTATTATTTTATCGATGGATATGTCCGATTACTTCTCACGCCGTCTCTTCGCGCACAATGCATGGTAGATAAGATTATGTGCATGATTTATGTCATTTGATTATATTTAGGTTATTGAGGGATTAGTGAAATAAAAGCATTAGGTAGTAAGATATGAAAAGCATATGGTTAATAATAATACGTTTTTGCATTAGAAAATAAACAGTATTTTTTTTAATGTCCTTTAAGGTTATTTTTTTTCGATCTCTATGACTGTATTTTAGTGTTACATTGTTCTCGCACAACCCAAACAACAAAACTATGTAACTGGAGAATTGTGAACTTGATTGAAAAAGAGTAACCTATGGAGTTTCTTGCTCGTTCTTCTCCATAGGAATATACACCTTGGAATGATCAAATAGCTTCACTTGTTAATTTTCTTTATTGACGTTTAAAAATGCCTCTCTAGTCTAATTAAAATAAATAATTTTGACTTTGACTTTGAAAATATGCATTTAATACAAACTAGATAGGTACCTATTATAGCAATTCCCCACCGCACTAAAAACGCGCGAACCACAAAAATTTAATTTTGGAACCGTCATAGAATAAAAAAGTTTTTAATAAAACGACAGGCAGTTCCAGTTATGCCAGTTTGAAAATTAAATTTAAAAAAATCGAACGTACCCGTGAACTGGACAGTGGCCCACAACCTTCCTATGTTGACAAAGCGGGGATTTTTCGAAGCGTGGAGGCTCTGTAGCGTAACTTTCATATACCTGTAACAACAGAAAAAAGGAATAAAAAAACTTTGTTAATAAAAATTCGAGGGCCTATGTTTGGTTGGAAACTCTCTTTTGTTCGTTAGGAATTTGTAATAGACCACAGTGTATATTTGTGTTAGAAACTGTTTTGTTTATGTTTTTGTAGTGTGTGTGGTTCACAAAATTGTATAAGAATTAAATCGATTTAACTCGTTGAGTACCGTCATTATAGACACAATTATAGAACAATAGGTTGCGGTCACCGGTGACCGCTCGGTGTTTGACAGTTTAATAATATTGGCGATCACTTTTTTGTTGGCGATGGTGAAGCTCTTGTCATGCTACGAATACAATTCCAAACACCATTTTACTTTTAAGAATTTTAAAAATAAATTAATACAGTAAAAAGGTTTTTATAATACAGCAAGACTGCCTCCTTGGCTGAGTGGTCGCAAGTGCGACTGCTAGGCAAGAGGTCTCGGGTTCGATTCGCGGGTCGGGCAAAGTATTACTGAATTATAAAACATATCTCAATAGTAGCACGGAGTCTGGAATTGCATCCGGTATATGGCAATAGGCTCACCCCCTATTACATGGGACTAATAACATAAATAGTGAAAAGTGGGTGTTACACTGTACAGTGGCATTAAGTGCCGTAATGTGCAACTCTTCCTCCCTCCGTGAATAAAAGGCGTGATGTCAAGTTATACAATGCTTTAATAAATATTTGGCACGATTTAGACTCTATTTATAACGCTAATTACGATCAAAGTTCAAATTATAATTTCTATAACTTTCCGAGTCTAGTCTAGCGTATCGTTCCTCGAAATAATATCGACGATCCTTGTTGGCTTAGGGTATCAATATGAATATGATGATTTTCAATTAGTAGATTCCTGGAACCCAGGCGATAGGGTGAACATTTTCCTTATCCTTGTACCTAATATGATAAAGTTATTATTACGTGAGACCCTATCACGTTTGGCGTTTCTAGTAAGATGGAATCTAGTTATAGGAAGGAGAATTTCGTATATTTTGGTTATATGAGACACTATATGTATAAGCGACTTCATTAATTGACTTCAAAATAAATAGGTTCGCAGTTTGACCTGTGTGTATGTGTGTGCGCGATTACCTTTTGATTGACTGCACCGATTTTGATGTGGTTTTCCAAAAAAGTGTTGTTACACTCAAAAGTTAAGGTTTTAGTATTAACCTCTGATATATCGGAGCGTAGACTACGCGAGACACAATGCGTTTTCTATTGTGTCTTAAATACCGACATACAAAAGGTTTATTACGTACCCGACTTCAAAAAAACGGGGGTTGAAGTCGGTTAATACAAACGTAGTTTTTTTTATTAACTCGTTGACACAATTATATAGACCGCGCGTTGTTTGACAGTTTAAATTAATTATTAAATTGGTATATTTATCTATCCCGCTAGGCCATCCGCAACTCCAGGCTATCGGGGGCTCTGGCTCGAAGCAGGAGTCGGAATGAACAGGGTGATTTTTAGTCAGTAAGAGTCTGACATTCTCTCTCGCCTCACTTAAGGCGGGAGAAGCCATTGGATGATTTTTCGTCCTCAAGTAAAAGGACACACATCATTTGCGAAGTGCTGACGATCAAGCAACCGAAGCTATCGAAGAGCGAGCTCAATGGCTTGCTATTGGAGAGGTCTAAGGCATTTTTTTTTTAAGAGGGGAAAATCGTCGAATGACTGCTCCCGCCTGGGTGAGGCGGGAGGGAGTGTCAGACTCTTACTGACTAAAAACCACCCCGTTCCTTCTCCTGCACGTCGAGTCGGAGCCCCGGTAACCCGTTAGGTTCTGGGCGACTCCGAATCGGCATCAGCCATTTTGGGCCCCATCTGTGGTGGTCTGATGGCTCTTTGAGGCGCGCGCGGAACGCTACGCGCCGTTCGTTCGGAATTGGAGAGTCTAAGGTGACCACTAACAGCGACGTGGTGGTAATAAGACATGAGATGATTAACAATCATCACCAAATGCGAACTCCTTTGTACTTTAAACACATTACGGCACACAATGAATTTAATTTTACATAATATTTTGTTATATGAAGTATTTATCAGTTTCCTTATTGCTTATTGTAATTTGTTCACATAAGTTGTTGAACCGATGCGCGATGCTACCGTCTGCCATCTGTACCGTTCATACGATCCGAGGCCGTCGCGTCTGCGGTAAACTCTAAGTAAACATTGCTTATGAAACAGTGACGTATTGACCTACCTGCAATTTAGAATTTAGATGTATGCAAACTGTACTGTGTAAATACTACAATGCTTAAGGTCAACTAAAAATGAGTTTAGAACAACACTTCAGAATGTTAAGAGCCTATGATTATAAGGAAGCTAGACTTTTTTTCAGTTTAAAATGTTTGTTTTGTTGTCAAAACGTATCTTAGTCTAAAATACGCTGTTTGTTATGAAAAGAAATCTTAAGTATCATACAGAGTCGTCGTCCATCTTACACAATTGTATTTGTATACATAAACGTGTCTGTATACATATGTGTTTAAGACCTAGCCTAGAATGAGTCTACGGAAATGTGTTTTTTTTATTATTTTATGAGATAACCCGGTAAACGAGCAGACGGATCACGTGATGGTAAGCTATCAGTGTCGCCCATAGACACCCGGAACACCAGTGGCGTTACAAGTGCGTTACTGGCCTTTTGGGGATTAGGAATTTGAGGATTGTTGGGGGTTCAGGGATTGGGGAGATTGGTCTCCGGTAAACTCACTCATACGACGAAACACGCAAGCGTTGTTTCGCGTCGGCTTTCTGTGAGGTTGTGGTATCACTCAGTACCTCAAAGTTTGTAAAACAAGTGTTTCAGAGTCCAGATTACGTCGTAGTTTAGTAAGAAAATCTACTGAAACATGTAAAGGGTAGGGTAGTTTACTTTCATATACCTACAGCAAGTTAACAAGCAAATATTCTAAACACAAAAGCTTTCTTCAGCAGGGTCTCATTCTCATATTATTTCAACAACAGTTGTTTAGCTGGGAAGTTGGGCCTTTGTGTGGGTCTACATAAACATTGTATATACGGAACAATGACACATAAATTAAGATAAGTCAACACCAACACTTATTACCGCCGCACGTGGTTGCTGCGTGTTACGGTAGCCTGTTACACCGTTATGTAATTCTTGTTGTAAATATTTCATCGGTTCGCGTCGCGACGATTATTATATGTCGCGTTTTCGCTGATAGTGTGTGTGTGTGTCACAAGTGTGGATTTTATCTAAATGTGTGTATTGTGGCACGGTGTTTACTATAAGGGTTTTGTTAATGAGTTTTTGTTGCATAGTATATAGTAAAGCGTCGTGATTAATGAATATCTACTGAGTGTATGTATTGGAATTTTCAATGCTACAGCTATTGTTGACTGGATGTATGATTTTTTTATTTTAAACTGAAGAAGATAATTTTGTAATGTATCGCTACTAGTAAAAAATTAAAAACTGAATGACAAAGGAATTTTTTATTATTCTTTTATTTTTAGGAACCTTTGAATTATTCATCGTAGACCTTATAATGTGTTGTCTGTGTTGTTTTATCCTTGTAATAATGTATAAAAAATGTGATGTCATCAAACTCTTAGTAGATAATCAATTGATAAATGCAAAAATCACATTAATATGCAGGCTGATTGCAGTTTAGCATTATAAAACACAACTAAAACAGCAGTCACGTGCTCATCAAATCAAATGATCTCAAAAATTGTAACTACAAAAAAATGTTATCGCTGTGAACAATTTGCAATTCAACGAGGTTACATTTTATCATTAAAATGTGACCCATATTATCGGTGACACACAAGCATAATATAGTCGTAAATTTGTATTTATAAATATTGTGCACGGTGTGATAGGGTGTCTCTGTGTAAATATAAACAAACCGTTATAGGCTTTACTTTATTTTGATGGATATATTCACTTTATATGTTTATTATTGGGATAATACGATTTTCGGTGAGAATGGATGTTGTGCTTGCAAATGGCGGTATAGGCAGAAAACTCAGCAACTATTGCTGTTAAATAGACGGGTCTTCTTGGCTCGAAATACCTATGAAAGGAAGGCAGTCTTAATCAAAAATATTATAAATCTACTCATTAATATGTTTAAGTGTAAAAAGGAATTTTATAAGTGAAAATAAAAATGTAAAGAAATTGTTTTCATTGCTCAAGGTATTAATATAATTATCAGTCAATTTAGTGTTTGTCGCGTTTATCTGACAATGCAATATCACATGTTGAATAATCAGAAGTTGATCTATTAAAAATGTATGTCAGCGACTTCAGACATAAAGGTATTGGTTCTATAAAATATGACTGCATTTTCGCTGCACTACATAATGTATAATAGACGATTGATTCATTAATTGACCATCCCCACCTTGTATGCATTCCTCACAATTATGTGACTCGTTGTATGAGAATTACATGACCATATGACAGGCAATAATTGGCAATAGCAATGCCTTGCAAGCGCCATGTAATAATGAAAGACAATGAAACTATTTACTGCTTTTAACCGACTATCAATTATTAAAGGATATTCTGATTTCAATTGGAAAATGCTTGTTTATACATATGTGCTTACGTGGTTGTATGGGTAGGTTTGTCACAGATTTTCAACCATTGCAGGGCCTAATAACAGCAACCAAATAAAGGGACACCAAAGTTATGAAATCCGATGGATCTTAGATCTAAGCACAGGGACATGGAAAAACTGTCTTCCATCTCTCAACATAGTTACATTAAATCTATTGTGTCTGTAAGTTAGGCGTAGGATACACTAGGGGACAAATAAATGTCTTACGATACGTGTCGACAGCGACGTTGGGTGTGATAGCATGACGTTGCCGGACTTCGCCCGATATGTCTGGCAACATAGCGCGGCATAGGGTAGTTACTCTTGAAACCAATGTCAATGCAATTTTAATCCAATAGAATCTTAATAATTATTCATTGTCAAAACTATAC